TTTTTTATTTTTTTTTTTTCAAGGGGTTTACGAAATTACCGTTATTGTAAGGAAAACCTAATTGCCGTAATAACATAAAGTTCAATTTATGCAATAATTATTTCAGTTTAAATAATCGATAGAAGTCCGGCGATGGAGGCAATGGGGAGGCGGGGAGGGGAAGTCTAAACGCTTGAGTGGTTGGCAGGTAGAATGTACCGGTACGGATCCGTTCAGCAGGACTATCCACTGACGCGTGACTCGCTAGAGCTGCCCATGAAGACCTTTAGAGTAGGCTGAACGCGGCTGCGTCCAAGGGAAGGTTGACCACAGAAATATCCTGACCCCCATCTATTTTAGAAAATTGAAACTTACTTTTTCTTAAAAGTGTGGGGGCCGATCATGAAGCGAGGGACCAAACGCGAGGACAAAACCGCATTTCGATTGCTTCAGAAAAACGTTATCAGTCATCCAACAGCACTTTGAGTTTGGGTTATTTACTCCGTCTCGCACGTGTGACCCGCGCGTCCCGCCCCGCCCCGCCCCGCCCGCGCGCTCGTCCGAAAATATTTACCTGACGCACTCGGCCCCGCCGCGCCGCGCCGTGCCACGCGCCCGGCCGCGTCAGAGCGTGCAGCGCGTCGCGTGCCGGGGGGTGGGGTGGGGACGAGAGTGTGACGATATGGGACTACTCAACCGCAGTGCCGCCCCGGACACCCGCCGATGAGCCGACTGTCCGATATAATACAAGCAGGACAGCCGTACGCCGCCTGCCGCGAGTCGCACTTGCGCGGCTGTTCAAAGGCTGCACTGAATTTCATCGTAAATTACAGATTGAAAGCTGCAGCACTGTAACCAGTAACAACGGTCAGTGGCAAAGTCGCCGGGCCGCTGTTCAAAAACCCACTGTGCCTGCGCGTATTGTAGGCGAGTGCATGGCCATACCTGCCAGCCCGACATGAGGTGTACGTACAAATACATTTGTCACTCGTCGTTGCATCTCGACATAACTGCAAACCGAGTCCCGGCCCAGGGGGGCGCGACACTTCCATGACAAGGGGGCGGCGACGAGGGAAACATTTAAATGGACGCATTTCAATAATTTGACGCGAGAGCGCCAAATTCAAATTCATGTATGTACACACACACACACACACTCAGTTTCGAAGCAATCCGTCAGTAAAAGGAGGGGGAGATAGAATGGGAAGGTCCGATTTAGGGGGAAACGAAGGGTCCGAGCATTATTATCTGCAAACTTGTCTCAATATGTACCGACGTAAGGGGCAGACCACGAGGTGCCCGCTGCCAGCAGGACACAATGGGACGTAGCTCCTACATGTTCCAGATATATGTAGGTCTAAAAACGGGCGCTGCCATTCCCCCCCCCC